TCGAAACATGTTTCTTATAAGCGCCCTTTTCGTATGAGAGGGGTGAGAGGAGAGGTAATGAACCAAGATGTTTTTACTACTTGGCTTTCGGTACCATTTTGTAGTGTAGCCATTTTCTGATAGGTGAATTTGTACGTTCAAAAATGGAAGCCATTTTTCTTTCGGCTTTTCTCGGGTGAACTTGATATACTCTGACTGTGCGTTTAACAATTCGAAGCATTTGTCCAATTCCTCTTGTGTTGAGCAAAGGACAAAGCAGTCGTCTACATACCTACAGTAGAGTAGCGGCCCGAGATCAGTCACCAGTACTTCCACCTTAGACATAAATGCAATGGCAAGGCTTGGAGCCAGTCGTTGTCCCATTGCCAACCCTCTTATTTGAGCGTAGTACTTTCCGGACCATCTGAAGATTGAGCAGTTCAAGCATTCTTTTAAGAGTGCCATCAACTGCTCTATCTTGAACCCATACATGTTTATTTCTCCTTCGTGTTGTATAAGAAGTTCGAATATGGCTTGCATTGCGGAGTCATTCGTTAAATTTGTGTAAAGGGCGGTAACGTCGAAGGACTCCATTACGTACACGCTGCTGGGCTGCGCAGTACGTAGACGATCCAGAAACATCTGGGTATTCGTAAGATGGGCTGGAATGTGTTTCAACAACTGGTTAAATATTAGGGTTAAAAACCAGGTTATCCTGTCCGTTGGCCCGTCTACGCAGCTAATGATAGGTCTAACCTTAAATAGTGATGGATCGTTAGACGCAAGATCATCGCTGGATACTAACTTATGAGTTTTTATAAGTAAGTACAAGACGGGGCATGTTGGTAAGTCAACTCTAAGTTGAGAGATAACTGATGGTTTTAAACCAGCAGCCCTTGCCATTTTGGCCCATTCGTGGTTTAGTCTTCGGTATTTACTTTTGAATTCCTCCTCGGATGGTGGGCGATAAAGCGAAGCATCTTCAAGATGCTTTTTCGTTATCTCCACATCACATCATCTGATGAGGAATTACGACAAACTCTCCACCCTTATCACTAACTGAAAGTCTTATGGTTTTCAACCTTATCAGCTCTCGTACCTCTCGCATACCACGTCTTTGCACTGGAGTGAGGTTTGAGCTGTATCTTTTCGCGCGATAGTGATTAAGGACTTTGAGAGTTTCATTCGCAAACATCCGAAATTTAACATCAACTTCATTATTGGGCTCTTGTTGTGTAAAGAACGTCGGGGGAAATGGTGCCATTGGTAGGGCCCCCACTTGATGTTGTTGGCACCTATTTAGCGCTTCATCTCTAGCTTTTTTGCGGAGTCTATCCTGAAGTTCATGTAAACCACATGCGACCCTACGCAAGGTTATCTTAGAAATGGGTTCAGATGGCGAGAAACTCGGCCCCAATTCTAATAACGAGCGCGCACCGTCAGGGAGAGTTATGCCTCCTAACACGGTTAGCCTTGAATTTTCTTCCACATTACCTATCCTAATGTGATCTGTTTGATGTTCTTTAGCGATATTTTTGTGCGCCATTGAAGCTGTGTTATATAATTTACTCAAAAGGTCCTCGAACTTTCTTCGCAAAGCTACTTTAGCATTAGACCTAATAGAGCTGCAAATCAACACTGACCCGCCCACTATTCTCCTCCAGAGGTGGTCCTCCAAATATTGGTCCTCTTCGACCGCTGTGGCACCGAACAGCACTCTTGATTTGATCTTGACAGAACAGCATCTTTGATTTTTGATCGCTGACGCAGATCGAAGCTTCGGATCCCATCCCTTATTTGTGTGGAACGGGATACTCCCAGCATCGTCCCTTCGACTGCGCGTTCGATTACGCTGAGTGACCTTTCGCAGCGACCAGGTTTCTGACGCATGCGTTAGGGCAGGAAATACCGCTGAGTCGAAAAGGTGGGCACGGAGTCGGATGTTCTTTGTTCTCTTCACTACATCCTCCATGCTCTTAAAAGCTCCCCAAGCCGCTCGTTTTCTTCTGCTCAGCTCTGAAGCTAGGTCGTTCACCATATTAATTTCCCGACCTTGATAGACATAACTGGAGCATTCGGAAATAATCGTTCCGTTGAGCGTGAATGGGGTATGCGAAACCAATCCGTTCTTCATGAACAACGTTTTTGTGAGATTTAGTCGAAGACCAATCCTTCCACAGGCTTTATCAAAGTCGCCAAGCATACGTTCCGCTTGGCTAATGTTTGGTGTTATAAATACGCTGTCATCAGCAAAGCGAAGATGGTGAAACTGCCGATTTTCACTCCCATGTTATCCCATTCCAATGTTCGTATGAGGGTCTGGAGGGTGGCGGTAAAAAACTTTGGCGAGATGGCATCGCCTTGCCTAACTCCTCTTTCGACGTCAATGTTAACATCGTTGTAGAATGGTAATATCCTTGTTGTAAAATTTTTGTACAGCTCACGAAGAACCTTTATGTACTGAGGAAGAACTCCTTGACTATCAAGGGCTTCCAAGAATGCTTCTATCTCAACTGAATCAAAAGCCTTCTATAAATCGATGAAAGTGAGACAGAGTGGTCTTTTGTACTCTCGCAATACTTCAGTGAGCCGTGTTAAAGTGTGGATGTGGTCCATCATACAAAATCCTATTCGAAACCCCGCTTGCTCACATGGCTGTCCTTCGTCTAGTGTCAATCCTGTTTAGGATGGCTCGAGTGAAAGCTTTGTAGACAACAGAAAGTAAGCAGATTGGGCGATAGTTGCCGATATCGTGCAGGTCACACTTCTTGAACGATAACACGGTCCTGCTGGTCTTCCACTAAATGGGAACTTGCATTCACAAAGGTAACATGTGTAGAGTCAAGCCAGTGTGTTTACGAGAACTGGCGGAAGGTTCTTCAGGTGTTCTGGTTTTATCCTGCCCGGATCTTGTGCTGTTCGATTTTTCACCGACGAGATGGCATGTCGGATTTCGAAAAGTAAAACCGGTGGTGCAACACATCCATCCTCCTTTATTTCATATGAGGGAAGGTAGGTATCGAAGAAATCCGAGTAGTATTTGTGAATGATTTTCTCCATTGCTTTTCTGGACGCTGTAACTGTTCCGTCTGAGCGCCGGAGTGCAATCATTTTGGTATTGTAATTGGCGAAGCTTCGGTGGGATTTGCGAGTGCTTTTCCCAGCCTCTGCAGCTTCGACCATTACTGCTGCTCTTCTCTCTCTAACAACTTCTTTTATCGCCTTTCTGCATTGTTTTGCAAACTCGGACGTTAGTTCGCGGTTGCCTGCAGCTCGTTCGATTCCACGCTGGCGTATCAGCTCGAGTGTTTCTGGAGACAGACGTCTCTTGGTGACTTTCGAACTCAGCTTTCATAGCGCTAACGTGAAGATGTTGAATGAACTGATCATATTCTTCGTCGATGTTATCGACAACGGCATCTTTCCAACGGTCGACTAATGAATTGAATAAGTCCCACTTTACGGTGGTTTTGGGACTTCGGTTTTGGAATTTAGCGGCTTTTTCTCCTTTCCGCGAGAAATAGCATCTTGCCCGAAGGAAACGATGGTCTGATCCCATGTAGAATCTTGGGACAACAGCGACATCGGTTAGGAGAACCTTCTATTTACTATGATGTGGTCTATTTCATTATAGTACTCTCCATTGGGAGACTACCGCTTCCAGCGCCGAGGGTGGGGTTTCTGGAATTGCGCGTTGCCATGAATGGTCTTGGTCGTCGTGATAAACTCAGATAGCCACTCACTCTGTTCGTTCCATTCTAATCCGTGGATCCCAATGTGACGTTTTTCAGACGTTCTTCTTGGTTCAATCTTGACGTTGAAATCTCCAATGATGACCTTGAAGAATGTGTGGTCTTCTCTGCAGAACTCTGTCTATATAGAACGCTTCGTCGACTTCTTCTTCGTCATAGTTTGATGTCGGCGTGTAAACGACGAAGATTGTCAGAGCCGGAATTGATCCACATCTTTTTAATCGTAAACGTCCGATTCGGGTTGTATGTTGTTCAGATGAATTGATGTTCAATGACAAACTCGTGTTGACGAAAACGCCGACGCCGCCAACTCCTCTACTGTCGCATGTTCCGAGGAACAGTTCTTCTCCGGTGTCATCGACGGCGTTGAATTATCCTTCTTGCTTGCATGAGCAAGTCCTCTATCGAGGACTCGTATACAAGTGTATGTGCATTGCAAGTACAGATCGTCACCATAGTTCTTTGAAATCCAGGCAGCTTCCATTGTTCCTGAGATTTTATCAGCCTCTCCGCACTCGTCCTACCAAACGCTGTGAAATTGGGGGCTATTTCGGGGTCAGGGGAATGAGGCCCGTTTTTTTTACTGTGTTTAGCATTTCTGATACCACGTATAGCTTCCTAGGCTCTGAACGTGAGGACTGGGTATACTCACGGGTAGCTTGCCAGGCTCTCCCAATGTGGACATGGAGCTTATTTGTTGGAGGCGACTCCTAGCCGCCTCCCCTATATTTCCCAGTCACTTGATTGCAGGCTTTTGGGCGAATTGATTCGTAGAATACAATCCGCATAAGCAAGAACGCACCCACACACGCATGCATGAATACCCCTATCAAATACAGAAAGTATGTGCCAAATCAGCGCAGTAGAAACAAGGAGCCCATCCCCTGGATCCACCTGCGTCTCAGGGAAGCAAACGTCGCTTGTGGTCCCCGGTTAATCCCCTATCAACCACCTGGAGACCCGCCACGTAGCCTCGCGACTAACCGGCTCGAAATCCCTCATATGAGGGAAATCCGTATATACCTAACATTCAAGAAATAAAGCAAGCTGGTTAGTCACGCAAGAAAAATTCCCAAGTAATCTTTAAAAAATGTACTGGAAAATCTGAGCAAGAAGATAATAGAAATAAATAAACAGACGAAACAAAGGTAACTAAACAAAAGTCCTTGATGGAGGACGAGAGACGTTTAGGTAGAAAGTATGTCCACAGATATGAGGGATAAAAAGAAATATTTGAAAGAAAATGAAACGAAAATAGCCCATCTTATCTCAAACCTGGGCTAGATAGCGCCGGGCAGCGGACTGAAGCTTCAGGATCACTTTGCCCAACGCAGCGTCACGTAACTCTTCCATCTTAGCAACGATTCCAGCGCGGAAAAATACCTAACATTCAAGAAATAAAACAAGTTGGTTAGTTGCACAAAAAAAATAGAAAAACAAGGAGAAAGAAAGAGAAGCGAAAGAAAAAGAGCAAAAAAGAAAGAAAGAGTGGTTAAAATATCGATCACTTTTAATTTCGTGGACGAAAAACTTTCTGTGATGGCTTTTTGTGCTTTCAATGTTTTTCATCAATAAGCAGACACGAGGTTGTTGATATGTCTGCTTATTGATGAAAAACATTGAATTATCAATTAATGCCGAGGTTAACAGAAAGTCGGTCATGGGAATTTTTGTGCTTTCTTTCAATTAACGCACTAAATAAATTTGTTTGGAAGGACTTATTGAGGATTTCGATCGATAGCCCAGAAGAGATCCTTACTGATTCCACGAAGAGATCTGCTAACGTTGATAGATAACTACAGTAAGAACAGAGTACGAGTTAGGTGAGTATACAAATAGGATGAAGAATTTCTTGTTAATGTAGAAGTACCTGCCTACCTTAGTTTTACCGACTTTAAAATTCCCGTCCAGAATTTTATTCTCTTTTACGAGTCGGTCTAGCACTTTTGTCGATGCCTGAAGCTAATAAATATTTATTCAACTTTTTATCCCACGATTCCTCCCTAACTAAAACATTTAGCCTCTAATTTCATTTATTTCTTCAAGTGCACAAAGAGCCTTGACGATCGTCGGATTTGCGTGTGATCTGCTTGCTGCCTAAAGATTTTTAGGCCTTCTTCATAAATATCGTTAGAGGTTCGCGCGATTTGATTCGCCCAGGAATCCTAGAAGAGCCTTGCAGGTTTTTAAGACAAGTATTCGCTGTACTCTGTGGGTCAGACAGAGCCTTTTACAGGCAAGACCGATGCTGATTTATCCATTGCCGAAGGATGGAGGCTCGATGCGATCGGTTCGGGGTCGAACCAACGACCATACGGAACATTGCCCGAGGTCTCCAGCCACTGGGTCTCTCGTTCATTCTCATATGGTAAACAGTAGAAAGAAAATGAAAAGAGAGACTGGGAACCACTTGCACCTGAGCCACGTCTTTTCCTGTCGCCTCGTCTGGGCCGAGAATCGCATAACGGAAGCGGAAGTCCTCGAACGTCATGCGATTCGGAAAACCTTTACGGCATATCCGAATGCCCTCCAACACTCCATTGCATGTTAACTAAACATGCAAATAATGACTATGGCAATAATAATAGCAACAGTGACAGTAATATGAAGATAGTATTGGCAAAGAAGCTCTAAAAATGCTAATTCTTATAAGTCTTCTTATGAAAATATTTCCACGATATGTGATAGAACTTAGCTGTTCTCGCTGCTTTTCTTTCAATTAAATTAATTAGAATACTCAATAAAAACGAAATGAATAGAAAGTAAAAGTGTGAAAAATTTGTGAATGTTTTTCATTGTGAAGAATAGAAAATTCAGTGACATTTGGTATTAGTAGAAACAGTGCTGGAAAAACTGAATATAATGAATGGAATAAAATTTCCTCACAACTGTTTACCGCCTCACCATGGCTAGGTGTTCCTGGGTGCTGGAGTACGATATACAGCGGGGGATTCATCCTCGGCAGAGACTCTCAAGCTGAGGAGTCCGGCGTTTCCGTCAGGAAGCCCAGCTAAGAGTAACCCAATACTAGGATCTATCACCGTCCTAGTATCAAACTAGTCGCACAAAGCTCCCTCTTATCCACAAGGGTGGCGACTGGGCAAACTTTGACCAGGCTGACTTCGGGACTCAAGAGAACCACATGGAGAATATGCTGGGGTCCACACAACCAATTAGGAAGGGCCGTTCAAGTATCCAAGTAGAAATAAAATTTCGAATTTTTTCAAACAATTTAAAAAGTGGAGCAGAAAGGCAATTTTAGGAAGGCGCAAAAAATACTGAGATAGTATAAGTAGACGTTTTAAAAGTCCCTTGAATACGGTCGGGGATATTTGAATATTTTTAATCACATGCATCAATCAATCAATAAATGTTATGAACCTGATTGAGAACAAGTGGTGCCTCGATAACTCCACTAGCTTTTTTCTCGTTCGGAATTATGCATCTATAAAGTTATAAGATAAAAAATATACATAACTCTGATGAAGCTGATTTCATACATGATGCAAATCCTATGATTTTATCTCATGGACTAACCGAAATTGTGAAAAAAAGTGAGGAAAAAAGATGAAGAGAAGAGGCGAAATAAGATAAGAAATAATAAAATGACAGTTTCTTATTCTTGTGGAGAAGTCGTTAGAGCCACCTAATAAAATGTGGATGAGTAGTGTGCAGCATGGCCATGAGACTGGCAAGCGACTCCCTGTACATCGTCGATACAGTAAGAAATGAAGCCGATTTACCTTTCTTACGATCTTTTACTTTACCTGAAATGAGATTGCCAAACTTATAGTTGTAGAAGAAACTTGACATTTGGCTCTTATTCACATTTATTGCACGGAATCCAGCACTTTCTCCTTCCAGTTCATTTCCTAGCAATCTTCATCCACGAATGTTTTCAGATTCGCGTGTGAGTATCTTTGAGTATCAACTACTCTTTAAAAATTTTCAACCTTATTTGCGAAAATAAAAAATTCGCCCAGTAAATTCTTTCTCCCCGAAAGCTGATTCTGAGATAGGCGTGTTAGGCGGTCCCAGATCTTGCGAATCTGATCGCACCATTATAAGCATTACAGGGGGCGGCTGAAGGGACACTTGATCTATACAGTGATTGTCGACTGCCGTGCTATGTTTCAAGTGAGTGTTCTTTGTCCTTCAAGAGAAGACTGGTACCAATTCCTTGCCCGCGCTAGTATCGGAGGCTTAAACGGCCTATAGCTGTGTTGAACAAGTGCTTTGAGAGTTTTGAACGGCATCACTATCACTACGTTGCTTGTGTCTTCCTATTTTTATTTATTTGTATTTCGAAATGTAGTTGACTTTTTAAAAAACCAATTTTAATCTAAGTGGTTTGGCTTGGTAAGTAATCTACATTCGGTCGATCGACTAATAACAGGATTCGCTGTTGTCTCAGGAGTCATAATCGGTTTGCAAGGCTTGGAGTCGCTGAGTAGCAAAGTTCATTCCGATCCGCAAAAATCGGTATCTGTATACTATTAAGGCAACCTGGAAACCCTCTATCGTGGTTATATCATGCCTTTGAGGAAAACGTAACCAGTTTTACTAGTATTTATCAAGTTGATGAAGACAAAAGACTTCCATCCGCTCAAAGCGCAGTTTAGACGACGTGGATAGCGACGAAAAGAATGGAAGACCTTTCTAGGTAACTCTACTCACTAAAGTTCACAAGTGACGACCTAAACCTAGTCAGTAACTCCATATTTAAATTGGTGTAAACAAACCAACGTACGTTAAATTTTGCATAAATGAAAGTGAAAACGACCTCTAGAGGCAAGTTCTTCGCGGTCGACATCCGTCTCATAGTCTTCCCAAATCTGATAGATCAAGCTCTCCTTGTCAGTTGTCTTCAACACAGCCACAGCTGAGTCATTCAAAGGATCCTAGAGAATATCTTTTTTAAAAAAGAAGTAATAGTATTTTATTTCATAAGAGTCCTAGGAAGCCTAGCGCTTAATTTACCATGACACAAAGTCATTTTTTATTCAGAGAAGTTGGTATGAGGCAGTGGTTCAGCATGGTTATCCTTCGGAGAAGTTGGTGTAAGATAAAGTAGTTTGGCATTATTATCCTTGAAGAACGGTTGCAGATCAAGCCATGGATTATGTTCTTCAGATTCTCAGCAACATTCTTAAGTTCATCGACAGAAAAAAACAGGAGGGAACTTTAAGGAAATATGTGGAACTTCTAAAATGTCATATTGAACAGAGGGCGGGTTTTCCAAATTTTACTTCGTTATTGATGTTTTCAAAAGTTTTTTTCAAAGAATAGAAGATATATCTTCAAGAGAGTTTCGAGTCGAGTTCGGTTTAACATCCTACGGATGAAGAAACATCACATAGTGGTGAATTTTTGCGCGGAACCGATTAACAGTAGATAGAATACTGTCTATTTTCTTGCTGACCACAGCAATTGGCACAGCGGTATAGGTTACACGCGTCTTCTTTTTTTTAAGAAAAATCGCCTTTAGGGATATTATATTGCTTCCGTGCGTGCCAGCCACAACCATAATTCGGATCGTCACAGAATAAACTTCAACCAAAAAACTGGTGAAAAACAGCTCATCAGGGGCAGTTCATAAGAACTTATGTATAGATGCAGTTGATAATCATTTTGAGCAGACAAGCGCTCAACTATCGTCTCGTATAAAGTGACATCATCGGGTGATGTTATACTTCGTCAGTGATTTGTTTACATTCAGCTCGACTCAAGGTTACTCTTTACATCACTATAGCGTCCTGGGCTGGGGGCACTGCACGACGAATATTTGAGTTGAATAACGGAGTTCTGTAGCCTAGCCGATGTAAGTAGGTAAGTAAGTAAGTAAGTAAATAAGTAATAAATTGACCGCTCAAGGACGATGTAGAAGACGAATTCCCGAGTATTACAATTAGATTATATAACTCCTTTCAACGGTTTACCGCCTCATCGTGGCTGGGAGGTGTTCCTGGGTGTCGGACTGCGATATTCAGCAGGTGGATTAATCCACCAGGCAGGGTCTCCCAAGCTGAGAAGGAATCCGGCGTTTTCATCAGGAAGCCTAGCTAAGAGTAAACCAATGCCAGGATCCACCACCGTCCTGGTATCAAAGTCGCATGGTGGGAAATCTCCCTCTGATCCACAAGGGCTGCGACTCCCTGTGGTGGTGAGGATCTGGGGCAGACTTTGGCCAGGCTGATCTTGGGATTCCAAGAAAGCACAATGACTCAAGCAGCAAACTTCTGATAAATGGTGACTATGCTGAGGTCCCTCACAACCAGTGTGGACAGGCCGTTCAAGTGTTCAAGTACTTACTTGGATACATGGATACTTGGACGGTCCGTCTTCGCGAGCTGTGCGTACCAGAGCACATATGAGATTCGTTCCTTTCTCTCGCAATCGTCGCCCATGGTGGTAGTCTTGTTCGAGCTTGGCAACGCTTGCGAGTTTCATACCGTGATCTGTAAAACGACAGCAGTTTCGGGTACAGTTGATTAACTTTGTTTACGAACACGTCCACCCAATGTGTAGGTGGTCGTCCTGAGAGACGTTTGCATTCTCTTGGAGTCTACTGTTCTTTTCGTCCATTTGTCGTCTGCTCTTCTCATTATGTGACCGGCCCATCTACGTTTGGTTGTCAATGTATATTCTCCTGGATCTCGAAGATGTGACAGATTTCGAAGGTCAGAGCTTCGCATTCCGGCTAGATATTGAGAGTGCCGGTTATATTTCAGAAGACATTGCTCAAGCGCTCTGTGAGTAGTTCGAAGCGTTCCTGATGTAGATGAAGTATCAACCCACCTCTCTGCAGCATAACCGAGCGCTGGGAGGACCGTAGAACCAAAGAGACGAGCGCGGATTTTCGGGTCCTTCAGTTGGTCGGTGGCTTCTTTGAGAGGCCCGAATGCGGCCCAAGCTGCTCGCCTTCTTCTATTTAGTTCCTCGTTCATGTTGTTTTCCATGTTCATTGATCGCCCAAGGTAAACGTAAGAGGTGGTCTCTGCAATGAGAGAGCCATCCAATTTAATTTTTTCGCCTTCGCACCATGGGTTTTTCATGAACTGGGTCTTTTTTCGATTTATGTGTGGTCCGATCTTTTTCCCCGCCTCGTTGAGCTCGTTGATCATCGTCTCTGCTTCGCTCGTACTTCTTGAGAAGATGACGATGGTGTTCGATCGGCGAAACGAAAGTTTGATAGGAATTTTCCATCAATACGTATGCCTTTCTCATCCCAATCGAGTGACGTCATTATCCACCGTAGTGCGGCACTGAACAGCGTTGGCGATATTGTGTCGCCCTGTCGGACCCCTTTTCCTACGGGTATTGTAAGACGTCAATGGAAAAGCTGTATTTTCGTAGTGCAGTTCCGATAACAGTCGGACACAGTCCTTACGTAGGACGCGTTCACTCCTTGGTCTACGACGACTGATAGGATTCCATTCCTTTCGACACTGTCAATTCGGGCCTCTCAAAGAAGCCACCGACCAACTGAAGGACCCGAAAATACGCGCTCGTCTCTTTGATTCTACGGTCCTCTCAGCGCTCTGTCATGCTATAGAGACGTGGGTTGATACTTCAACTACGTCAAGAACGCTTCGAACAACTCACAGAGTGCTTGAGCGATGTCTTCTGAAACATAACCGGCACCCTCGATATCTAGCCGGAATGCGAAGCTCTGACCTTCGAAATCTGTCACATCTTCGAGATCCAGGAGAATATACATCGACAGCCAAACGTAGATGGGCCGGTCACACAATGAGAAGAGCAGACGACAAATGGACGAAAAGAACAGTAGACTCCAAGAGAATGCAAACGTCTCCCAGGACGACCACCTACACGTTGGGTGGGCGTGTTCGTAAACAAAGTTAATCAGCTGTACCCGCAGCTGCTGTTGTTTTACACATCACGGTATGAGACTCGCAAGCGCTACCATGCTCGAACAAAACCACCACCACGGGCGACGATTGCGAGGGAAAGGAACGAATGGTATATGTGCTGGGGTCCGCAGAGCTCGTGAAGATGGACCGTCTAAGTATGCAAGTAAGTAAGTAAGTCGATGGAGATATCGCCGAAATGTCAAACCACAATGAAGATGTTTAGCAACCTCGGACTATATTACTAAATTCCAAAATAACAACAACAGTGACTACAACGGCTTGAAATATGAGCGCTCAGCACTTTAGTAATATGTGTAAAAAGGAACATAAGTATGTATAACATATTTATTGTAATATAATATTTATCAGTCCACTTCTTTTATCCTCTCAGGCAAATCTCGTTCCAATTTGCAAACCCCGAAGAGATGACACAGTCTTGGAGAGCCCGGAACACGGAATCAAAACCAGTGATCCATCTAGTATGTGATGTGGGCAATTCTCAGTGTCACATGTGAGGCGTATATGGCTCACATTTTCATCAATATCCCACAATCAAGCTTCGATCTTCTTAAATGTTTTACTTATGAAAAAATGGCAAAATATTGAGGAAAGATACCCACTTTATTTTTATCCAGCCACTGGTCCGCACTATAGCGAACTGTGCCAGCGTAGTGAATTATAGCGAAATCAGCCTGTGCCTGATTCGCACGAGGTGGCTTAGCCTGAAAGGGAAAACAACCGCAGAACATTTAGAAGATCTGTGGCAATAAGGACACCCATGAACGAAGAAATATAAAACGATTACGAATAACATCGCTATAAATGAAAGACGAGGAATTTTTCTCGAAAAATGAGATGAAATTATGAGCAAATCTTTCTCAACCGTAATCGGACGGTTTAAATTGTTTGAATATGGGTTAAAAAACACTTAAAATCGACTGTGTGGTCGATAACGCTAGAAAAAGTGACCTTCTGGAAATTTGGGTGTTTGCCAAGATGTTGGCTGTTCAACTTTTCCACATAAGTTGTGTCGGTGGCTTTTGGTACAATACACTCCTCGTCCAGCATTGAGATGATACCGAGTGGCTTAAAATATGAAGAATTTTGTTATTTAATCAATTTTTCACGGTAGTTTTTCAACGGAAAAAAAACTTTTTAAAAAGGAGTGCAAAGACTTTTGTGCTTTAGAAAAAGAGAAAAAAGAAAGAAGAAGAAAAGCCTTGTCTTCTGTTTTCGTATGGTTACCACTTCGAAATTGATTGCTATTTGAGAAAAAGTACTCAACGAATTTTCTACTGGAATTCATTAAAGAGGAACTATAGGTCGGAGATGACTTTTTGCAGAAAACAAAAAAACTATAGGGCATTGTAAGGTGATGACTAAAGCCGCTACAAGGCCACGAAGTATGCCTCCCTTCCTTACTCGCTATGAATTCCAGTCAACGCAAAACGTTTGGACAGAACTAAATCTTTGCGAAATTGCTATTCCTGTTATAAAATAAACATATAAAGAGCGCAGGTACCGGATTGGTAAGAGACACCACGAAATAAACGTGTGGTCTTTGGTTCAACCCGCGTCTCAGGCAGGCCAACTTCCACCGGAGTCCGCAAATTAGTGTCTAACCAGTCTACGAAGACAAAGGGCACTGACTTAACACGTTGCAGGTGCCCGAAATTCATTGTATAAGTCAAATATGCATTCAATCCTTTTAAGATCCTAGAAATGGAGTCCAATCCATGGCGTATTCCTAAGGCAGCTAACAATGCTGCGTGCTTTATCATTTTTAAACGTCGTTTAAAGAACCTTAAACTTTCTGTGGAACCATTCCGCTTTGTTCTCTTCTTAATATCGATATACATCTTTTACATGCCCATAAAACTATGATAAACGCAATACAATCATTTTAAAATGGTTTTGATATCTCTCAGCAGTTTTACTTGGTTTAGCATACTCCCATACCATTCATATACTAAGTGTTTCTAAGCTTCTATATTGGAAAGACCTCACATTGTTTCTTTGTGATAAGCCAATATTTAAAGTCTAAGGCTGATAACCGTCTAGTGGTTGACCAGGTAGAACAGAAATGAACTTTTCTTATAACTATTACTACAATCACTAATTCTATGGACGACAACCCTACTAAGTAAATTTCATTAAAACAACTTCTATTCACCTTTTCGATGAGATCGATACAGGTCTGTAGGTCAAGACCAAAATCAATAAACGCCCACTGAATTCCTTCTCGTTCATATTCCTCCTGCTCCAAGACGAACATGTGATGATTGAAAAATTGTTGGAGTTTCTCGTTCACAAAATTGATCCATAGCTGTTCGAATGAGTTACACTGAAGATGCATATGATAAATGTTTTGTCCTCTTCCTAGATATTCCCGTCTTTCTGTCTTCTCTTACTTTCTTCCTACCTTCGTTTTTTCTTTGAATCAACCAACTCTAGACTAACCAATGGTCTGAATACTGAATGAGTAGACAGATCAGAAATTCTGAATGCCTTCTATTAAGCAACTTCAGTCTAATGATAGGCTCAGGAAGAAACATGAAGCATCGCAAAACTCATAAAATCTTCATAGATGTACATTTCAAATTTCCTCCCTAGTTCCTCCTTCGCAAAAACGTTCAGAAACTCTGAGAGCTCTACTCAATCTACGAAAAATCTGGACTTCTCATTAGAGTGCCAATTTCTGCCGACATGGAAGAAAACCACAAATACAAAACTAGAGGAAAAAACTTAGTGGTGAGCTTTCAGACAGCAGAGAATTTGGAGAAATTTTGAGTCTTCTAAGTGAAAAGTCAATGACTATGAGGAACAGTACTGTACTGTCTCTCCAGACAAGAAAATTTGGAGGAAGAAGCTTGCAAAAAAAAATCGGTTTATACCCTATTATACTGACATTGATACGAAATCGAATTACGTCACGAATATTTGGAGAAAAGATCGTTTCTCGAATAGAGAGAATCGAATAAAGGGAGCTCACATCGAATATTTCGAATCCGGCGATGTCGAGCACTCCGATGTAGTTGGCGGACTCGTCCAGGTTGATGGAGAGCGTCCGATTGATGCGTCGGATCAGCCAGTTGAACACCCGAGCGTAGATCGCCTTAGCCAGACTCTCGACAGCCCAATGCACCTGAACACAAAAACTACCAACTTCTGGAAATAAAGTGGAAAAACCAGAATGACCTAAATAAATAAATAGAGAAAAAATAAGCATCGAGGAAAAATATAAAGTTTTCTGTTTGAACGTTAAAGTCAATTAGACACTCGGATGACACGCCTTCGCGCGTGATATAGGTCCCAGCGCTTTCCTCGTCTCGTTGATTTTCTCGCAATGGTCAACAGTAGAGATGGTCGAAATGGGGTTTGTGTCCAGTTAGTTACCCTATGCGATATTGGGGATATTCCACCTCAGTGGAGGGTTACGGACGGCTCAAGAACGTTTCTCGTTTCTTGCCTGTTCTTCTCGATTGGCAGAAGGTTCGATAGTTTGTTTTATTGATGAGCTCACACTAGGTAGTTGTAAATCTTTCCTCTAGCTAACGCTTCAGCGGCTTCGCTTTAATCAGAACCACGATGATTCGAGTCAAGTTTTCACAGTAGTTGTTTCTTTTTGCCTTGTTGGCCTCTGTCGCATCTAGACGAGTCGAAAAATATAAATCTGTGAACACTCGACTCGAATTGTCGTGATTCTGATGAAGACGAAGCCGCTGAAACGTTAGTTACAATAAAAAGTTCACAAGAACCTAAACTGAGCTCATCAAAGGACAAAAATGTTGGTTATCAGCACCACGGGCTAACGAAAATAGGCTGGTTGCAACTTCTACCACTAATTCACCGGCCAGTAAAGAATTTTGTAATAGACCGAATTCAAGCGTTGAAATTTCCAAACGTACTGAAGCGCCTATCACGTATCCGTGATTCTGTTCAGTTTATCGTAGAATATGTGTAATTCAGTTCGATCTTTTTTTCATGGGTATTTTGCAGAGAAAGATCGGCAAGCGTGGGGACAAAACTTATCCAGCTAATAAGCTGGCGTATTTCTCTTTTTGGTGGTTTTCTTGGTCTTTCTTGACACGTTGCCAGTAACGTTCAAGGTAATCCAAGATCTGGTCGTCTCCGGCTAGTAGCCTCACTTTCCGTCACTACCTGCTAGAGCACATAGTGTTCACGGTATCGCACAAGTCGTTACGGAAACAATTAATTGGCTTGTGCTAATCGTACTGATGTGGGTACGGCAAACTAGTGTACAGTCTCATTGTGGTTGAAGGTACTCTTACGCCGCGAATCACACGGCAGTGAAGATGAACGACGATAATTCATCTCCAGCAAGGTCTCCTAGCAGAAGGAATGTTCCGGTCTAGATGCGAATGCACAGTTAGAAAGAGATCTAAAGAAAAGAAAGTCTTGTCCACCTAGTAAGTTAAAAGTCAAATAGGACATGTCCTGATATTGACTCGAGCACTATCCAAGAGTTTAGGCGACTGGTGACACGTTTCCTTACAACTGTGTCTTTCATTGCAAATATTATTGGTTCTTTCATGGTTTCGGCGAAAATTCTCGGTTACACAACGGCTCCATCTTCCCACTGCTTCACAATACCCTACGAATCTGTGAATTTTCTATTACTCATGTCTTTACAATATTTTTCCAAATTTCACTTCTTCGTTTTTTAAAAATAACTCCAACAGAACGTTGTCATTATTCTTGTATATAATTTAATGATGAGACAAAACAAAATTCATACCTGCTGTTTGTTTTGTCCTTTGTGCACCCATTCTGTACCGACTTTGATTTTCGGTCGTACTAAGCTTGAAACAAATTGGTCAGCATCGATGCCGATTAGTTTCGCAGCTTTTACAGGACCTGCAAATATCGCAATCCACCGCGCCATTTTCAATATATCATCATAATCACTCCTCCCAACGGTTTACCGCCTCATCGTGGGTGGGAGGTGTTCCTGGGTGTCGGACTGCGATGTACAGCAAGAGGATTCATCCCCTGGCAGGGTTTTCCAAGCAGAGAAGGAGTCCGGCGTTTCCATCAGGAAGCTTAGCTAAGAGTAAACCAAAACCAGGATCCACCATCGACCTAGTATCAAAGTCGCATGGTGGTAAATCTCCCTCTGATCCACAAGGACTGCGACTACCCGTGGTGGTGAAGACCTGGGGAGGACTTTGGCCAGGCTGATCTCGGGACTCTAGGAAACCATAATGGCTTAACCTGAAAATCTCCGAAAAATGGAGATTGTGCTGGGGCCTGCACAACCAATGAGGACGGGCCATTCAAGTATGAAGTAGGTAAGAATCATCATCACTTCATCCGAAACCCGTGCAGAATGTGTGGGCAAAGATTTCACAACAACAATTCTGTAAGGGGAAGCATGGCAGGCGTCGAATGGTCAGAAATAAATAAAATCATAAAAATACATATGAGGAGCCATTTCCAAATCAGTTCCTTCATCGGCGGAAATTTTCTGGTGACATGTAAAAGCTATATTCCACTAATCCGACGACTAAAACACAATAGAAGCGCGGCTGCAAAGACTACTACGATCTCCATAAAATAAGCGATATCTTAGAATTAAGAAGAAGATTTGAAAGGCAGAAAAGGTTCTCAAAAGATCTAGAAATTATGAGTTTACAAAACATTTAAAAATAATGGAGAGCAAAAGAACTAAAACAAAACTTAAGCAGACAAGCCGTCCATTGCACTACAGTACTCGATTAAGAGAGGGCAAATGAACATTGAAGAATCAATTTTTCTCAACGGCAGACGAAAGAGTAGAGATTTAGAGCAAAAACGGAAACAATAAGAAAAAAAGGTTCAATGGAAAACGCTTACCTTCCATACTGTCGACTTCGGCCTGTTCTTCTCGGGGTTTTTGTTTGAAGCGGAATCGGGACATGTGTAGAATTATGGCGCAAGCCTTATACAGATCATATTTCTCTCGATCATTGAAGTGCATCACATCGAATGCGTTCTGGAAAAAAAATCCGTTTGACTTCCATGAATATGAAAGAATAAATTGGTATAAAAATTGCTGAAACTCTAGGTCACTAACATTCTTTACATGGCACAAAGAGAACGCTTATTAACTCATTCTCGAATGTTTGAATAACCCGCGCTCCAGTAGTCATTGTTAAAAACTGATAAATCTAAAAATTTTTAAGCTAAAATTGCCACTGAAACTGTCTAGTTTCTACATAGAGCGGAATAATATTAAGTGATCACCATTTCAAAGAGATCCGTATTAGCTAAATTTCTTATACACAACTAATCAGTGACTCTTTGAAAAAGCTGAGCTCTATGGCAAATTTGGCGTGTCTTAAGCTGGATTTAATCTACAACAATGCAAACACGCGATTAGTATGTGAATATTTAGCTATAAGCCTCTGTTGCCTTTATGCCCACGTATCTAAAAGCCCTACATCGGTGATTCGGAACTCGTCCTTGTCGTCCATACCGGGAACAGTGATCTCAGCTTGTGATACGAAATTATACTGCAAAATATCATCGCCGAGTTGGAAAACGTCTGAAAATTCACTATGGTGTTATATTACGGGTGAAGGATAAGAGGTGTTTAGCGTAGTTCAACGCCTCAAGGATGCGTAATGAATTCGATTTCATTTGCAACATCTGAGGTTTGAGTGCACTTTTGAATGCATGCTTAGGTTATGTCTAAATGCATGGGCCTAGCGACGTAACAAGCTGTGTTTTCTTAGATTAACAAGCTAAAATACGGTAAAAAATAAAGCTCCCGGCGTTGATCAATCTCTGGGGGATGCGCCATGCATTCGACTTCATTAAGTATCGTTGGAGGTGATTGAATGCATATCTGGCCTTTAAAATAACTCGCGGTGGCCTGCCGATGTATTGTGCCAGTACTGCTATCCTCCCAGAACAAGCATGGTACCAATTTGCCGACTTTGGAGAGATGGAAGGCTTGGTGGGCCATGGGCGAGGGGATCGATTCCACATGTATGTCGCAGTGGTGCCTCCAACCACTGGGCCCTGCAGTTAATATACAGTAGGAAGTTTTAAACAGCCGATGTTTCGACGTCTCTGTCTTCTTCAGATCATGATTAATACGAGTCGGCTGCCCACAGTCGTTCGTCCTCGTCAAGTGAGGATTGTCCATTCGAATGGTGCTCCACGCCATTGGATTCGAACCGATGCGGCTACGAAAGCTCACCTTACGACGAAGAACGGATATGGGCAATCGACTCCAATCAATTCGGCTCTAAGGAAGACAATACGCCGAAGCACTAGCCGAATAAAGCCTTTTACCAACCTTATGTTAGCTTCATAGTCTAAGAAGATACCGATTATTTACACCAGTTTCAAGTAAAAGTCGATTTTTAGAAATGTCATGCCGGCTTTTTATCTTCCCGCGGAGAGAACTAGTGCCATTTCACGAAACACAGGAGGCATAGTTGGTTCGACCATAGCGCTGAATAAAACCAATGACTAGGTGAGTGTTCCAGAGAACCTCTAAACACTGCGCTAAGCACGATCTATGCATGAACGAATAAAATTTGTTGGACAACTCTTACATAAGCAATCTGGGCTCTTTGGTGACGTATCATAAGCAAATTAAGGTTTCTGTCTGAAAATTGAACTGCCGAATGCAAACCCTCAAACTCCTCAGATTAGGTTATGTAAGAGAAGGGATGAACACCGCTTCTTACAGGTATTCTCGTCATCCAACTCTTAGTGTTACCCAATCACTCAGTTAGTACGGTGTAACATTGAGGAAAGTGAATGAGTACTAGTGAGTGCTGCATTAAATAGGCAAAAAGTGAATAAAAAATCCAAAAATTTATCAAATAAGAACAAAGAGCGGTTGCATAATAGACGAAGGCAATATTTTTCGACGAAGTCTATTTGTTCTTCTTTCACCTTTGAAAACAAGCATAAGTACCACCTTTTGCAAAATCATCTAAAACGTACCACGAAGTTTTCTCTGTGTGAAGATTTGGTAGAATATATGATAAGATCGTTCGCCGGGCGCTTGCTTGATCACACGTGATTTTTCAAGAAGATCTACAAAAAAACAAAGACAACAAATAAAAAAAGGTAAGTTTATTTGACTCAAAGGAAAAGTTGAGAGTCGAATAAAGAATGTGATAGCGCCTGGTATACACGATTCTGTAAAGAGCAGAAGTTTATTGAATGAACCAAATACTTCGCAGTAAGCTCCATGCTTTTGAATACTTGTGTCAACCCGATGAGAAATGAATTCACTTTCGTTAAAGACCTCTCAAAAAACATTCCGCCATTAGAAGGAAAGTTCCACGAACTGGTTCACTTTTATGAGAATCTCTACTTCGATCGTAAAAGATCATGATATAAAAAGAGAGCGTAAAAGAGCGTCGCAAAGTGAGCATGGCTCATTCGAAATGCTCAACTGAGGAAAATCCGGTTCGATGCGCGATGAAGACGCCACATAGAGAAGAGACACAAGCGTGGACTATCGACAAGGATCGTCGGTTCCGATGAAGGCGAAGACGTCGAAACGTTAGCAGAATAAACTCTCTTTCAAGCTCGTGTAAACTCAACAATGTAAACACATGTTTACTATTATAGTACCGAGGTTAAATGACGGAGGGCTCCAAGATCAAGACAAGTTGATGAAACCAAGTACAGACCGTGTTTGTTAGTTTAAGAGTGTTACATAAATGGTGTCCTCCAAACGGTATACTGCCTCATAGTGGTGTTCCTGGCGATGTACAGCGAGAGATTCGTCCTCCGGCAAGATCTCCCAAGCTGAGAAGGATTCCGGAGTTTCCATCAGGATGCCTAGCTAAGCGTAAACCAATACCAGGATCCACCACCGTTTTGGTGCCAAAGGCGCATTGTGGCATTCACATTCCTCTGATTCACAAAGGCGGCGTTGCCTGTGGTGGTAACGACCTGGAGCAAACTTTGACCAGGCTGACCTCGAGGTTTCAGGGAGCCACAGTGGCCTAGCCAGCAAATCTCCGAAAAGTGAAGATTATGCTGAGGCCTGCACAGCCACTGAGGACGGGTCATTCAAGTACCAAGTAACACGTACATAAATGGTGTCGCCTTCATCACTTGTCTAGCAGTATATTAATAATTTCAAAATTTCAAATTCAAATCATAACTGATTCCACGTCAATGGTGCTTAACATACCGGCGAAAATATGAGCCGCTACATTTTCCTTGCTGTGTAGTTCTATAGACGTATATCCATGTGTATAACTTGTGTTGCTCCCAACTGTTTATTGCCTCATCGTGGCTGGGAGGTGTTCCTGGGTGTCGGACTGCGATTTACAGCGGGGAATTCGTTCCTTCGGCAGGGTCTCCCAAGCTGAGGAGACCAGCGTTTTTATTTGGAAAGAGTGAACAAATACCAGGATCTACCGGAACCATAATGGCTTAACCAACAAATCACCAAAAAATGGTGATTATGCTGGGGCCCTCACAACCAGTGAGGACGGGCCGTTCGAGTATCGAGTATCAAGTAAGTATAATTGTGTTATTTGTTTTGTATAAATCCTTGTATGTAGTGATATTGCACCGTCGTGGACATTTTATATTTAACAATTTTTTACGAAAAATGCTCAAAGGATTTTTGGAGGGGAAATTTGAGAAACGTGTATTCTGATCACCTACAATGTTCAATATCGCCGCCGACGAGTTTTCCACGTTTGTCAAAGTGGATTCGAATAAATTTACCGTATCTCGATGAGTTATAGTTCCTGTAAAAGCGAATATTCTAAAAAAACCCTGAAAAATTTCGCAATATCGTGCTAGAATTCATGATTTCGAAAAACTCCGCAAGCTAACTGGTGTTTTTCTGGACAGGCAGGTTTTTTCTTCCTCAAAATCCAGAGAAACTTGTCCCACTAAAGGTAGTCGTAACCGCAAACAGTCCTCTATAAGTCAAAAGAGTCTTGCTACCTTACGAATAAATTTACTTTAGAACGGTCGCGATTTAACGCATTGGTTTATTCTTAGCCGAGGCTTCCAGATAAAACTACAGAGCTTCTTCTCAGCTGAGTAACGCGGCTTGGAATAAGGTACTCGAAGCTCTTATGCTCCAAATAAGTTTGATTCCAATTTTCCAACCGAGGAGTGGTAGAAGCGTCGCTTTGCCCTAGTTCGTTGGATTTAACCAGAGACAACGGGAGTACTGAAAAGCGCGCCAAGCCACAGCACCCAGACGATGACATGTGGATTATTACGTTCAAAACACACCTTATTTGGATATTTACTTACTTAAACATATGCGGCTTTCCAATACTAGTTATACGCATACTTAATTGGACACTTGGATGATCTGTCATCACTGGTGGTGTATGCCCTAACACAATCTCCGTTCGTTTCTTTGTTAGGCAATCGCTGTCCACGGTGGTGGTCTGCTTCCAATATGGTGATGTCTGTGAGGCCTATTCCGTAATGTTGAAATCGACCCCACTTCTGAATGCGGATGTAACCACGAACACGTCCAAACATTGTATTGGTGGTCTTCTTGGAAGATGCTTGCATTCATTTAGAGTCCACTCCAGTGTTCTTTTCGTCTTGCTATCATCTTTTCTTCTTATTACGTGTCTGACGTTGTGAATGCCGGTCAAATGACAGAAGAGATCATCCAAGTGCTCTGTGTGGGGTGCGCAAAGTTCTTGACGTAATTAAAATATCACCTCACGTTTCTGATGCATAATAGAGCACTGGGAAGACTGTTAAATCGAAAAGGTGAGTGCGGAGCTTTAGGTCTAGTAGTTGGCCGGTGGCTTCTTTGAGAGGCGCGCAATCAGTCCATGCTGCTCTTCTTCCTCTATCTAATTCCTCCTTCTTGTTTTTCTTCGTGCTCATCAAAAGTCCAAGGTACACGAACGAAGTGTTCTCCGTAATAAGAGAATCACCCAGTTCGATATGTTAGCATTCACACCAAGGACTTTTCGTGAATTGGGTCGTCGTCCTATTTATTTATGCGTAGCCCGATCTTTTTTCTCGCTTCTTTGAGTCAGCTGAGCATCGTCTCCGTTTCAGTGGTAGTCCTTAAAAAGATGACGATATCGTAAGCCAAACGATAATTTGACAAGGATTTTTTCATCAGGACGCATGCTATTCTCGTCCTAGTCGAGTGACTTCATTGTCCACTCCATTGCCGCACTGAACACCTTTGGCGATATTGTTGGCGGAACCCTATTTTCTATTGGAATAGTAAGCAGTCTATGAGACAGCTGCATTTTTGTGCTACGGTTCCCATACCATTCAGCTAGAGTTATGTATAGGAATGGCCCACTCATTTGCTGACGAGCGCTGATAAGAGAGCAGCCGTTTCAATGATGTCAAACGCTTTATCATAGTCCACAAAATTTAGGTAAAAGGCGGATCGTATTCTCGACAGACTTCTATGACCCGTGATATAACTCGGATGTGGGTTCATGCGGCAGAATCCCTGTTTCTATTTGCCGAACCAATTGTGTGTCATTCAAGGTCTCCGGTATGCCCAAAAGAATAACTCTCGTAAACAACTTGCAGAGTGTACTCAACAAGCACATCGACCAATGGTTATGAGGACCTCTTTGGTCACGTTTTTAGGTATGATGACTGCTCACAATGTTCACCACTGGTCTGGGATTCTGATCTTCCTGAAGGTTAGACGTCACGGCGACATATCAGGTCCAGGAGCTGCGCTTCTGTTCATGCTTCCTGTCGCAACTTGAACCTTAGAAAATATAATCTCGGGCGGCTTTTCACCATCGAGGATTTCGGAGTCCGAGACAGGGGTAGTGGAGCGGAAAAAATTGGTATAGAATATTTCCATAAAGTTTAAATATTTTCTAAAAAAAAGCAAACTACTTTTAATATATTTTCGCGTTTCCATCCTTTCCTGGTATTTCACTTTTTATGTACTTTATTATAATTTCGTATTTTTCCTAAAAGGTAGATTATTTTCATTGAAGTATGCGGGCGTAGGTATGGAATCAAAAAATGGTACCGTACCTTACTGTTGAACCGTTACCAAATGCTTCGATGGCTGGATTTGCTTGTACGACTTGATTCTCCAGCGAAGCTTCCTAAAACGATAGGAAGATTTGGATTGGAAAAAATATTGTAAGGTACAAAACCAGGTGGGTAGAACATAAGGGATTCATTCCCTGTTATAGGGTATTGTCAATGAAAGGATAAAAATTAGTGGAAGCAAGAGTAAAACTAGCAATAACTATGATAATAGCACGTATAGTACAATAATAAATAATAATAAGTAAAACCAAAAATAGACGTTGTAAAACATGTAATAATTTATATTACTGATACCATTTGTTAACAAATTGAAGGCAATGTGAAAGGGGCTATATCCCTTTCTAACAGCAGGATAATATCCCGTAAAACTAGCTCACTCTAGAACTTTTTTCAACTCGATGCTTACTGTTTGCGTAACCCGGCGATATGCCTCACATCAAATTCTAGAAATTGTTGGCGTCTGCGCTTATGTGCTCGCAGACAGAACACATGCAGGGTCCCCACAGCATGCGGACAGGAGAATAATGAGTGCTGAGTGTAACAAGATGTGGATCGTACTCGGCATACGGTGAGAACTACCATCCGCCTCCGTCTTCGACACGTGAGAGCTCCCATCTATCCCTGTTGTGGACACATGCTTAAGAGCTCCCATCTGTTATCCGTCATCGGCGCGTGATATTTTATCTGTCTCTTTGCCCTCGCCCTTCGACGACTTCGTTCAATGTCGGTTAAGTTGTTCTCACTTCTGCGGGAGTGCTGGTACTGTACTGTGTTTCGCCGGCAGCAGAGTTTAATGTGACGTGTCCAACGAACAATAAATGAATGAATATGTGCGTAGAGCTACTAAGTTACAGCAACAAGTACTTGTACTACCGTATTAAATCTGATTTTAGGAATTATACTACTGTACACAGTTTTCTGTATAGAACGCCAAACTGTCGAAAACAAGGTGGAGCGGATACGTAACGCGTATGGACGACAATCGATGGACAAGAGCCGTTAGTGGCTAGATTTCTAGGGATGTCAAGCCTACTGCAGAAAGACCACCGACCCAAGACGGCGTTCTTTACGTTCTTCACAAAAGCAACAAAAAGAGATATGATGTTCAACGAATCCCTGCAGTAAGCAGAAACCACTGGGCTATTCTTGCATGCGACAGCGAAAAATGGAAGCTTCAGTGGTGCCTGTTCGAGTCACTTGACGATAAATAATAGGGACGGGTTATAGAGGTGATATTACTATAGAGGTCATCTTTCGTTTTATAGCAGCTTATTTATTCAGTTTTCATCCATCTCATATTATCTCGTAGATAATTTCGTTTTCAGGTTTGAGTATTACAATCGTTTAGTCAGCAAAAACAGACTTTATTTTCTCTCAAAAATTCTGGCGAACAAGCTAATTTTTATCCCTTGTCACCTGTTGAATAAAGGCGATAAGTACTACCGATCAAATCCATCCTATGGCAAATAAATTTCAGTGTTTTCTCTCGTATTCTTCATGGCTTATCTCAAGATTTAAGTGGTTGGTTATAAAACACTAGTCAAAACGTTCAGCTTAGCCTACACCAAGATTTTCGAATCGTACGGTTTTCACTCCGGCCGTTGACATTGCCTTCGTACGAGCTCCGATTTTCGCAAAGTATGCGATGACTTTCTTCGTGTTCTCTGTCTTACCGGCACCGGATTCGCCAGTGATTAACATCGATTGGTTCTCATGATCTTCAATAGAAAACAATTTACAGCCAGTATAAAAAGGTGAATTCTAACAGAAAATGAGAAACGGTTCTTTTAAAGTTTATCCTCTTTAATTTTTTATACTTGCTGAATATTTCTCACTTACTTGATACCTGAACGGCCTGTCCTCACTAATTGTGCGGAGCGCCAACACAATCACCACTCCTCGGAGAGCTGCTGGTTAAGCTACTGTGGTTCGTTGGAAATCCGAGGACAGCCTGGTCAAAGTCTGCCCCAGGTCGTCACCACGACAGGCAGTCGCAGCCCATGTGGATCAGAGGGAGATTTGCCACCATCCGACTTTGATACCAGAACTGTAGTGGATCCTGGTATTCGTTTACTCTTAGATAGGCTACCTGATCGAATCGCCGGGTGACGAATCCCTCGCTGTACATCGCAGTCCGACACCTAGGAACACCTCCCAGCCACGATGAGGCGGTAAAACCGTTGGGAGGTGAATACTTCTATCTCTGGTAAAATCGCTTTCGTAATATTCTCTTAATTTTTTAACAATTCTTCTACCCAATGGTCGAAATTCAATGAAAGCCATTGAATTTTTCAATTAATCGCAGCTTTAACATTATTGGTACATCTTGTAATAGTTCCCAAGATCGACTTTCTCTTAACCTCGGCATTGGAATATGAATGTGTCGTTTTCTTGCTCAGCAATCGCGAGGTTTTTAAACAGCATACATTTACTTCCATAAAGAAAACACAATACAATACAACGCTAGCTGACGTTTCGGCAGTATCGCCTTCTTCAGAGCCTGGAAGGGTATTCTGATAT